ACTAGCTCAGGGGGATAAGAACACTGACAAGTCAGTGTCTTACCCTCCCAGACCCTGGTTAAATTTAAACTGACGTTTACTAGTAACAATTTCCCTGTTCGACGGTCACCCTTGCTTAGTTTTCAAGGCGTAAGGTATAGAGTGCTAAAGCCAGTGGGAGCAATGAACCTTCGATTTTTTATTTATTTATTTATTTATTTATTTATTGCACGCTTAGGTGCGCTACATAATTCACATCTTAACATCAGTAAAACTAGGGAACACAGAACAATAACTAAGTGAACCAGCTAGGCAGCAATCGAGATAAAGAGGTGATTCTCCAGGACGAAATTCCGAAAAGCAGGGATGTCTACAGATGTAATTTGTCTGTGTACTTTCTAATTTTACTAGAATTCTCAGTTCCTTCCAAAAATGATGACTGCTGTCGTTTGGGAACATGTTCCTCTCTTCAATTCCAGTCATTTCATTTTCCTTGACACCTCTTTTTTTCATCTGTTTGACAAGATAGCTTGGCATGGTCGCCTTTCTATGAAAACATTCGTCGCTATTTGACGTTGTGTGCCATCTGCGGATTCTTTCGTTTGATTTCCGATTTCCTCAGAGCCTTATTATTCAGCTATTCTTGGTTTCAGATGGAAATCGCTTATGATTTCTCCGAGATATTTTCGTCAGAGCCCATTCAACGTCTTGATCGCGCACAATTAGTACGTTTCAATCCCAGGAAGTTTTGGGCCGTACAGAAAGCGATTGACACACTTGGACAGTTATCTACCCAGGTAGGAACCTGTTGTTGACTTAACTACAATAGATTTATTTATCTATTTATTTATTATATGTATATACTCATGTAAGTGCCACTGTTGTTGAGTACCCGACCGAAGCCATAAGCACGGAAATGGGTGGGAATTAAATAAAAGTAAAGGAAAAGGGCCGAGAATCGTCCACTCTCATGGTTTTAGATTAAATCCAAGTTTTAGGAAAGTGCAGCTAATTCGGCTGACTGACCTCTGGAGTACTAATAGAAACCTATGGCGAGAGTAAGGTTTTCTTTTCGAGATAAGCTAGCATACTTTATGAAGTTCTGACCTTGTTGTCAATGGTTTTACCTTCTCAATGTACCGATTTTGAAGAAACTTATGGCCATTTGAAGGTTGAAAACTCGCGTTTCAAGAGAATGGCCTAAAAAAGCCATTGAGGGAAAAAACGGAACAACGGGACGATTTTTCGAAAGAGTGGTCATTTAGAAAAATCTTGATTTTTTTGAAAGCGCTAATCTTCTAGTTTCTAATTAGCCTTAGAAATCTGCAAAAAGTTGATTATGAAGAAAGTTATGAACGTTTGAATGTCGAAAACTCGCGCCTTCTCAAAAATCGGACCACAAACCCCTGAAAAACGGAACAACGGGACTATTTTTGAGAAAGTGATCTTTGGAAAAATTCAGGTGCTTTTTTGAAAGCGCTAATCTTCTAGTTTCTAATTAGCCTTAGACATCTGCAAAAAGTTGATATGAAGAAAGTTATGAACGTTTGAATGATGAAAACTCGCGTGTTAACCGACATCGTCGCCAACATTTAACACGTTGGCGACGATGTCGGTCAATGCTGACCGACAGGCAGTCTGTCACATGGGACGATGTCGGTCAATGGTGACCGACAGCTTGAAAGTAAGCAAACTTAGATGGAACCCGCGACTTTTCTATTTCAACGTTTACTTCAGTGTCCTAACTTACTACACTTGTCTGCGAATTATGATCTTTCTAATTCCTGGGAGTTTTATTCTGAATTAGTTATCAGTGGCAGAAACGCGCTGTCAATTGAATCACAACCACAAAGTTCCCACCGTCAGCAAACTGGAAATCTCACTAAATGTTCATATCGACATTTACTAATTAGGTCACCGTCAGTAGAATGTCCATTTCTAGCCTTAGGTTCCCATGATGGTCAAGTAGGCTCAGTCTTACTCATAGGCAGGACAAAAGTACCTATCCAGTCCATCAACTGCCAAATATTTCACAAACAGGTTTTTTGACCTTGAAATGACTCGTTTAAATCTCTTATTCGATCATGAAGAACAAGATAACAGTCAAACAAAAGCTCATTCCGTCAGGTACGCAAAGTTTTTTGCGTCATTCTTGAGTGAAAAATTCGTAGAAGATTTCAGATGTGATCAGGATACCCGTAAAACTTCGTATATCATAAAAATGAAGAATGCGTGAAATTGCGCCTTCAGAACCTATTCTAACATGAGGTTTGAAAATGCCAGGCGATGTCACTGAAATTTCACCCAGCATTCAGTAGTAACAACTTTTCCTTGTTTCTAAACGTGTCTGGAGTACTCTAGTCAAAGGCATTTTGTGCATTTCGAGATTTTACAGAGCTACAAAATAAGTTTTGCCCTGTTGTTACCGGCGCTTTGCATGCAAAAAACGCCTCGTCCCATGCGCGCGACAAGGAAAAAATCGCTCGTCGTCAACGTGTTAAAAATACTTTAGAAGGTAAGCAATTTCAAGTTTTTGTATCCTATCTCATGAGAGCTTCTGAAGAAGATATGACCTTTGAATGAAGGGTTTGTATCGCAACGTAATTGCTGCAAGGTTTCAGTTATTCAGTTTATAAAAAAAGGAGATTGAGAGTTCGAAAAAAAAACTTGGTAGGTTTCTGAAAGTAGAAATCTCTGCGATTACTACCATGTATTGGTTTACGCAAAAATTTGGAAATTCCTTCTATTTAATGAATAAAACTTCATGTTGCCTCGATTCCCTCCTCTGAGCGAGACAAAGCGCGCGGATTGACCACGGTCCACCACTTCTCCATGTCGGTGACTGCCCATACATCGATGATGGCATTAAAATATGTGAAAGACACAATAGTTAATACGGGGGGGGGTCGTACCTGATACCCTCCAAAAGGAGGGGGTCGTAAAAATTTTGAAATCTGCGCAACGCACGGTTGACCTCTGCCTGCGGCTTCTGCCCCCCCCCCCCCCCCCCAGTTACAACACCGAAGTGTGATAACTCAATTACAAACGCATGGAAAAATAAGAACAATCCGCTTACCTGGAACTCCCTCTACCCCCGATTGTGTAATATAATGTATGTATGTTAGTGAATATTTTGTTATACTTCAATTGAACATTCATGACTTGCTGCGATGACTGAATGCATTTGGGAGCAGTGTAATTCAGCAAATTAGGAGCACTAGACCATTTCGATGCTACACGAGCCTCAATATCTTCGCACCGCTCCAAATTTCATGGAGTTGTAATGGAAATGTGAAATTTCATTATTTTAAATGAGGATTTTCATGGTAGTAAGCCTAAAAATACTTGAGTAATGCTCTTAGGTAATTCCACTTAATTAGGGCGACACTAATATCGGCGGTATCTCTACTTCTGATGTTATCAATTTTGCTGGGTAATCACTCACGGCGTAGGCGGGCGGTGTAGTGACGAGAAGCACCTCTGCAGCACATATCGTCCACGGATCGAGTCATTCCTCTGCTGAAGTCGTCCTTTCATTGAGATGGGTAATCTGTTCCAGATATCTGAATGGTATGAAATCACTAGTATGAACATTGATTTGTTCTCACAAGGCGTTCAAATTTGTAAAAGAAATTCCAGACAACGCAGCCGTGAAATCAAAAACCCCATATGAGGTCGTATCGAAAAGTCTGTCTTGTGGGTTAGATAAAGTAGCCCATGAGCATCGCAGGTGTGCATTTGTCGCGCTAAGTGCCACAATGGCGTTAGTAATTTACAAAGTGAGACTATTCTCGCCACTGAGCTTACTGGCGAGAAACCTCGTGCTTACCCCATGATACGCAGCGCTGTAGCGATTCAGATGCGCGCCGGTTAGTGGAGCCGTGGAGCAAGCAAGTTCAGAAAACTCGTCCGGCCCCGCCCCTCCATAGTTATAGAAGAGAGGGAATATTTGTATCTAACTACTAACTGTAACTTCCAATTTCTTCATGGCTTGTTTGCTTTGGTTCTTTTCCATTTTCAGTCATTCGGCATCCACAATTTCATTTTCGACCGCTATTACCCCGCCAGTTTGATCTAAGCTTGTGGCTTTAAGTATCGTAGTTGCAATATCAGACACATTTTGAACTGCGTATGACCCTTCGGCAGTCTTACTGGCAAATCTCTATTTTAAATCTCTTCTATTACAAAGTTTATCGAATAAAATCAAGATCAAGTGAATGAGGGATCATGTTTTGAATTTCAATTGCTGAAGAAACGTTATTATCAAGGCCGATACTATTTGTTTCAGGCACAAGGCTTGAAACGAATTCTAACAAGCTATGAGAAGGTGGTAAATCATCCTGAAGATCAATATATCTACCTGATGTGGCACCGTCATCCGACGAAACCGTAAGTGCTTTTGAAGTGCTCATACGAGTTTCGTTCCCAATATTCTATTACATAGTATTTTCAGGTCTACGAGTATTGTAATTGGTATGCTGAAAGTTGGCAACAAACACCTCTACCTTCTCGATGCTTCTCAGATTCAACGATACGAGGAAGAACCACTGTGTATTCTCGATTTTTACATTCACGACTCGGTTCAGCGCAGAGGAAATGGACATCAGCTGTTCAATCACATGCTAAGGGTTCGTATGATTTCATCAGTTTTCATTAATTTCTTTTCACGCTTTTAAGGAACTTTTTCTGGTCGCTGATGAGATATGAATTCGGTGCATCTCTCATGTACAAAATTTAGTCGCAATGGTTTTGTTTTCTCATCAGCCAGCTCTGCGCAACAGCTTACAGCATTCCATCGCTCTGACTAAGCTGTAGAAATAGATCTTTCTCAAGCAGTCTTTTTCTCACAGGAGAATGGTGGCGGAGCTACCGAACAAATGATTCTGTTATCTTGTATGGCTTTCTGGACCTTTTTATAGCGCCCTGCACTTTCAAACGATATGTCGACCGGTAGTCGAGATAGAATGCGTGGCGCATAATGAATAGCTTGACCAACTGTTTCTTTTAACGCAGTGATCTCATCCACTCCTTTTCAGAATGGTTGAGGCCTTGGAGGTTCTGTTGAGGGCTAACAAGGAAGGTCTTTCAGGGTGTGCCAAGCTTTTTCAAAACGGTCTTTTGCATGATATAGAGGCACATGCGGGAACCACAGAACCATGGTTAATTTTTCCTGAACGGCCCTCTGAATACCAGAAAAGGGGGTCCCTAGTCACACCTTTTTCACCAGTTTTTCAATCAAAGTCTATTTGTAAGGGTTACTGACGTTCCTAATCATGAATATGGTACTAATTATTCATGCTAACTCCATTTTGCGCGAATTTTGGAAACGTCAACTCGAAATGCAAAAATTTGTCACCACGAGGAATCGAACTAGGGACCCCCTTTTCTGGTATTCAGAGGGCCGTTCAGGGCTGTGGTCCCCATATGTGCCCCAATGTCATGCAAGAAACCATTTTGAAAAAGCTTGCACACCCTGAACGACCTCCATTGTGAATATTGGATTGGTAGTAAGCATAACATGGTAGCTTTTTTGTTACTGTGTTTGATTCAGTCACTCGAGTTAAACCAGAAAAAGTGTCTAAACTTTTCAAAACCATTTTCACTGCTCTAGCATTATACGCTTGCAAAGTTCCTGGATAGTCCGACTGTATTCAAATGCATAGCTAAAAAAATGAAATATATATTCGGGAAAAATCAGCGTTATTTACGTTATGTTATTCTGCGATGTCTCCGTCAGGAGGAGCTTCTCAAGGCATTTGAGTCGTATGGTGAAAATGACAAAAAGCTAATCACCCACTCGGAGACAGTTTACCAGTTCTTGAAAAAATGTAAAAAAAAAACCGTCAAAAAGACACACCGTACTAAAAATACTGTGGTTTGCTTCCGTGGACTGGAAGAGCCTCACGTTCTGGGAAGCAACAGTGGTAAACAAGACACTGTAAAAAGGCACTGAAAATATCGGTGAAAGTGGTGAAGTAGGAGGCACGCTTATTACGCACGTGGTCCGGAGATCGGCCAACCAAGCCTTTCTTCCCTCCGGAGGTCGGTTAATTGGTACCAGACTTGTCTGGGAGGATAAAAACACTGACTTGTACATCGGCTGGCCCCCGCAAGTCATTGTATAGGCCACATCGCATTCAAACGCCACTACGAATGTAAATGGAAGTAGAATGCGTGCCGCATCTCAAAACGCGATCGATAAACGCCGGATGCATCATAACTATCCTATAATGGGAAGCATGCTTTCCAATTCAGTGCGGAATATTATATAAGCGCTACGATATTATGGAGCAGCTCCCTCCTTCTGTGAAATGCACCAAAAGTGTCTGCCAGCGGTTTAGATCACGCAATGAAACTCGGTTGATTAAACTGGGGAAGGGGGGGGGGGGCGCAATTCAAACGATGTGTACTCGTGATTACAATTATCTTAGGCTTTTGTATTTCCGGTTATTGTTATTTTTTCAAGTTTCTGGAAAACTAAAGAAACAAACATAGTAGTAGGCAATTTTTCCACAGTTTTTTTTTATTTGAACGAATCTCACAATGCATCTTTCAGCAGGAGGGCACAACTGCGAAGGCAGTGGCTATTGACCGTCCCTCGGATGCGTTCTTACAGTTTTTGGCGAAATTCTATGGTCTGAAAAAACCTGGTACGTTTATATTGCATTGGTATATGTGGTGATTTTTGATTGATACTTTATTTTTAATTGATAGCAGCATCTTTGATCGAATTAGCATAGAATTGCTACAGGGTCAATGAAATGACGAAAAACCTTTGCAGTGTGGCAGTCTACGAATTTCGTGGTGTTTCCGGAGTTTTTCGATGGCAAAAAGCCGACTCACCAGAATGAACACTGTGGTACTGGTAGCCGTAGTGAGAAGTTTGGATCCGGAAAGAATGAGGTTTGTCGGATGGGCCTCCTTATGCTTTCTGATGCTACTTGGTAACTTACTACTCAATTTCTTTCCCTTTTTGGTATACATGAGGGAAATTAATAGAGAAGACCAGTTTTGTCTGTAAGGTCCCAAAGTGGCGATACGTTAATTTGTCGCTGTTCATGCTGGGCACTTTTTACTGATGTGGTTCAGTAGGGTGTCCCCCAAGAGGCCCATCGCGCGGCGAAGGAAGAGACGCAGATGCGGCAAAGGACGAGTCGCAGCGCGTGCTGTGCGATATGAGACGTAGTATGGTACACTCTATTTAACCTGACGCCTAACCGCTACAGTATGCGCTGCGACTCGTCCTTTGCCGCGTCTGCGTCTCTTCCTTCGCCGCGCGATGGGCCTCTGGGGGACACCCGGGTCCCCGTTAGGATGCCCACACCGTGGCTCGGAGAATTTTTTCACCCGCAATGTTTTTTTCCGTCTGTGCTTCACTACTTCGTGGTATGAAGACAGAGTAGGGAGTCTCACCCAGTCGATCCCACCGTTGGTAGTTTTCGGCAATTTTTTACGACCCCCCTCTTCCTCAAAAGTTTCATGGTCCTCCTTCACCACCTTCGTCATCATGGTGCATCATTGTATAATATTTATTCCGACCCCAGTTGACACACCTAACTCCACCAACTTTTTCCTCAGAATTGGCCGCCGAGCGGAGGAGTTTTATGCACGAAGTAAGTACGAGTAAAACGGCAAAATTTTCTCGCTGCTCACACTACGCGCCCCTCTCACGCAGTCATGCAACACTCCAGTTTCACTTGTAATTTTATGAGGCTAGATGAGGCCGAAGCGAGTACGACCCCCCTACAAACTCAACGAAATACGACCGCCCCTCCCCGTTTGTACTTGCCGCAACATAGGGTTAAGCCTGGTCGCACCTCTTCCAAAATACGTTCTCCGTCACTTGACGGGAACTGTTCAGCAACATAGATCATTAAAAGGCAGAAACTGGGTCCGCGGGCATGAAAGTCGCTCGCGACGTGCACCCAGTAGGTTTTGAAAAAGAAGGGAATTTGAAGGAGGTTTGAAGAGTATCATACCGCAAATAATGCAGTTTTGCGATTTACTTATTTATTGATTTTGATTGCGCGAACTTTATTTGTGGATTTATTGATTTATTGATTTATTTATTTGCTTATCTGTTTGATGTAGCTAGTGCGCTGTATTATATCCAATAAAATATTGAATGAAATTTAAGTTTGATCGACTATAGCGCGAAAGGAAAAAAGCTGCTATACAGCGAGTGAAGAAAATATTTTTTTGACCAGTAAGATAAATTGTTATGTAAACCACGCATTTACCTCTGATGACTCTAGATAGGCGGATGGCGCTAGGGATAACGCCACTCCTAGACGAGCTCGGAGCATACGTACGGAATCCGAAACTGAATTTTCGGATGTTAGGTATTCCCTACCCCTAACAAGTTCAGTTTCGAAACAACCGCATTCATTCGGAAGCGCCTCGTTTTTCGTGGTTTATTTGGTTTTTTTTCAACTTTCAGAATTTTAAGGTGTTGTTTATTCCCTACCCCTAACAATTCAGTTTCGAAACAACCCTCTGAAAGCGATTTAACCCTTTGACGACCAGTGTGGCCCGCCGGTGGGCCACACTTTCATTCGGAAGCGACTCGTTTTTCGTGGTTTATTTGGCTTTTTTCAACTTTCAGAACTACCCATGCAAATTATCGGATCCGCAATACAATATGCTCATCAAAGATAGTAAAATTGTTGGAGAGTTAACGAATATTGATGAAAAAATTTGAAAAGAAAGGAAATGACGCACACATAACGGCGGTCGTCAAAGGGTTAATATAGCCATACCAGATCATTTTATTCCTTACATTCACTTAGTTGAACCTTTTCAGCCTCTCCTGGTAAGTCAGTATTTGAGTACTGATAGGGATGCGCATGGAGCGGGTAAGGATTCCGTTGCCGGTTTGCTTCATGGCGATATGGGACCAGAATTTCGACGTATCGCCGCACCAGATACTCCGTTAGATAGGAAGAATAGGAGAGATTTTGGGCATCAGAGCCTATGGTAGGCCTAGATGGTACTGCTGAACCTATCTGTTCTTATTTTTGTTGACTTACCGTTGATAACGTTTGTATATGGACAGATTATAGTCCGTATTTTGAGACCTTGTTAAGATTGCTTCATGTGTACAGTTGTGCATCCTATTTGTTATATTTAGAAGATCTCAGTTACTCCGTTTAATTATTACGCTTATTCGATAAAGTGCTATTCTGTAGAAGGGTTTTCATTATTTTTTGAAGGCATTATCCGCATGGAACTGCTACCGTAATTGGCTGCTATAGCCTATGTAAGATGAGATATTTATGAACTTAAAGGCAAGATTCAGGATTAAATTATGAGGTTAATTCCACTCAAATGTGAAAGTAGGGGTAGGAAGTGGACCGCCAGTGGAGAAAAAAAAAATCGTGAAATACACAGGAAATACGAGCCTTTTGCTCTACGCTGCGGAGAAGTTCAAAAGGCCGGCAGGGAGATGAGAGATAATGTGAGCGCGGAGAGCGTAGAGAAGTCCGAGTAGAGAGAGCATAGCAGATCAACATTGCGACGCAGACAAGATATCGAGCGGTGGGCGGAGCGTGTACACATAGAAAAACACAAATTGAGGCTTTCACTAATATAATTGACCGCAGACAACATCAATCGACATCAAAGGCTCTTACCAAGAAGTCATCGTATTCTTCAATTTCCGCTAACAGATTGTTATACTCTTGTTCTCGCTCAGATGGAGGCGGCTTGGGTCTAAAAATTTGGTGAAAAATTGTGTAGGCCAGATCTTTAATTTTTCATTATATACCTGAATACGAATGGGGGATATCGCGGCTGTTGAACAACAGCCTGACGCAGATTACGCTTTGCATTCACTGATGAATCTGCAATACAAGACTCATTTCGTTAGACTCTCAAATCGAAGTCCCATGAACCCTTCTTGGCTTACCTTGTTGTTGCAACAGGTAGTGCGTGTCAAAGTTCTTAGCGCCTAGCGTCTAAATAACGGCTTTCGAAGTAGGGAAGTGACGCGACCTCTACACTTGCGTACCTAGCGCTTCTAGCCACCGTAAAGGCTCATTAAGTGGGGCTCGAACTTAGCTTGTGAAAGATCTGATCACCGTAGTCGGAGGGCGGCGCGGTTTTGATGGCGTCATTTCTCATTCATTGGTGGACCAGACCTCAGTACGGTGGAGGGCGTGGTTTAGATCGCCTTCCAACACTCCTCCACCGATGGCGTCATCAGAACCGCAACGCCTACCAGCCATCTGATCGCTGCCTTTAAAATGTCTTGTTAGTTTCCATGGGTTGAAAATATGACTTTTCGAGCATTTGGACAAGTTTGGGTTCAGAGATATGTTCTATGCTTGTTCTACATATGCTCTATGTAAATTTCAGTCCTCTCTTCGCCCTTGGAATCAATACTGTCCTGTGCAAACCTTTCCCGCAGAAATTGGCGTCAAGAACATATAAAAGGATTACATGAAACAGCGTAAACTTTTGAAGGTATTGAACCATTTATACAGCGTTTAATTGCTCATACATCCGGAATGCTATTTTTCCTGGATTTTTAGTCGTCATTTTTTATCCTGAACGTTGGTTGGCTGTGGTTGTTTTCTATCATGCTTGGCACATGGTGATACCTCTCACATTTCCACCACATAGATGGGAATTTGTGGGTGCAATGTAGCTCTGTGGTGGGGAGGGGGAGGCAGTGTAACACTACGTTATTTTAAGGTCAACATACCCGGGGATATAGCTCTCATGCTATGTCTAGAAAGTGGAACTCAGAGAGAAACAAGCACAGATTACGCACCCTTAGCCTCCCGTAATCTTGGGCCAAGAACTGAGCGTTACATGCAATCACCGTAGTTGAAACCCTATCAACTGCACAGAGTATCCCATCCCCCTCACTTGGCTATAATAATTTTCACGAGAGGGAGATGTGAGAGAGCGACAATGTCTGCCAGAGAAGGTAAAGAAAAGGGGGCTATCTGCCGGAAAGCAGCCAGAGCTCCCTTCTATCCACTTAGTTCACAAAAGTGGCATATGAAGTTATCTCGCTTGATATTATTTACATTTCATATTCAACCCAAAATGATACGAGCTCTAATTGGAACGATAATGACTTCAGTTCCGGTGCCTTGGATCTGTTTGAGTCTTCAGAGCCTTCTCGTAATTGAACTCAATCCCTTCTTGAGCGAGAAAAATAGGCAAAAAATATTATTAAGAAAGAAAAACATTATAAACAAAATAATTAACATGGTTCGTTTCGCTCCTTCCTCAGACGAACCTTATTATTTCGTCAATCCCCGGAGCTCATCCGAGAAATTGTAGAGGGGATCAATTTTGAATCGAAAGTGAATTTCGGTATTCAAGGGACCGTCGAGATAGTTTCACATAGCCCTGTTGAGGGTGAAACAAGACAGTGTGGTGCTAGGTAGAAGATGACTGATGGGAAACCCAACGACGTTCAGCAGGCAACACCATTGCAGCTGCCGTAGAAGCAGTGCTTGCTCGGAATGTGAGCGGATCGGGTCTTGTGTCATCCAGCCCAAAATTGGGCTGGATGAGACAGACGGGATCCGGAACTGAGGCAAGAACGGATACGGGACTCAATGCTCTAGTTTAACAGGAGCTCGTGTAACGGCTCTCGATGAGATCTATTATAGTACAGGCATGTATGGCCGAGTGGTAAGGCGCCAGAATCAGTGAATACTTATCGTGAGATAGCGGTGCTCGACGTTCTTTTAGTCATATTGGTTCGTGAGTTGGAATCCCATTCAGCCCAAAACTTTGCATTTCGATAGTGGTCTTGGAATGCACCACGCTTTACTTCTATTCAGAATCATAGCCTGGTGACCAGTCAATGTACGCCAGTGTTTTGTCCTCATAAATGAACAGACATCAATGTAGCATAGGAAGGGGAGGGTAAGATTGGTTGCCCGAACGAAAGCGAGTTTTGCGGCAAAAGAACATAAATGACACTTACTATTCTTCTGAAGCATGATTGCTGAAATACCTAAAAAGTATTGTCATATTGATTGTTCCGAAAAAATACATCTCTCGCCATCTACAGCGTTTTGTATTTACTTTTGCTATAATCTCTATTTGTTTATGGCAATAAAACGAAAGCTAGACGTAAATTAAATCAAAAAATTTTTAAGCTTCAGGGAATGTTTGCTAAATTAAAGGAATGCTTCACGGAAAATTCTTGTATTCTTTCTTGACATGAATGTGTCAGTTGTGATCACTAGAGACGCACACAAAGTTTCACGCATGAAGATTCGGTTTCTGAAGAGAAACAAACGTACAAAACTACACGTTATGGACCATCGAGGTATTTAGACGGAGCCAAAGCTGACATGGAAAGAAGTTGGCCTTTAGCCAGCTACGTATCAGGCGACGCAATGAAAAAATCGCGCGCGATTTTGGAGAATAAAGACAAATCCGATCGATAGAGTGGGATGAAGTAGAAGTGTAGTAGGATGTGAATGTAATAAATCACAAGATAGAAAGAGCTTCTAATGAGGGCACCCCAAGAACAAGTTGACACGTCCCGTAAGGCCCCTGTTTTAAGAGTCGTGGGCACTTTGAACGTGCGCCTATCCGATTTTTTTCTACCTTTTTTTTTACCAAAAAAGCGATTTTTCTGCTTCTTTTGCATTTTGTGTGATAATGAGTCTCAGCAGTGGTTTATGGCTGAAATCGTAATATGATTTTTGTCTGTGAGGATCCTTTAAGCGTCTATTTTATCATTTAAGCGACCATCTGGTTTGTGTGTTATACGATTTGACGACCGCCGTTATGAATGCGTCACTTCACTTCTTTCTAAATTTTTTCATCAATAATCATTAACTCTCCAACAATTTCACTATTAGTAATTAGCGCATTATTCCGCGAATTCGATGATGTATTTGTGTAGTTTTGAAACATAAAAAATGCCAAAATAAACCCCTAAAAACGTGTCGCCACCGAGCGAAAGTGTGGCCCACCGGCGGGCCACACGGTCGTCAAAGGGTTAATTTGCTTATCTAGAAATGTGCAATAGTACAACTCAAGAGGCTTGGAAGAAGAGCGCAAAATTGGTGGCCATGGTTCTGATTGTGCATGCGTGTCGAACGTCCATGCTTAATCTGCAAGTTATAGTAAGCTGTCGTGTTAATGATCCCGATCGTTTTCTACTCCTAATCTGGATTCTTAAGGGCTTGAAGACTATTGGGTGCCAGGCATTGGGTTGTTACATAATATCGTAGCGTTTAATTTCTACGTTTGAATTTAACCAGTGCGGGTTTTATCAGGAAACCGTCTATAGCATTATAGTATTAGGCGTCTCAAAAAATTCTGTCGTTTTCTGACACTCCTCTTTTGGATGCTTTATGTTCCTTGAAGTCTGAGAAAGCTGCAATCGGTATGGATATCATTTGAAAGAGCTTTTCCTGCTCTATCTAAAGCTTCGCTCATCTTTGTCCTAAAACATCTCTATAGTTTCCAAGGCTTTGAATGCGGGATCCTCGATGCAAGTTGGCTTGACTTCCTTATTTCTCTAGGGCTTTAATACAGCCGAAGTACGCGGATGTTCAACATGTTAAAGATGCAGTTTGGCCTAGATCGCATAATGTGCTCTGTGCTATGCAGTACAGTGCGTTGCAAAATCTCCCAAAACTATGAATATCTCGGCTCCTAGAGAAGCCCGTCTATCGCAACTGGAAGAATCAGAACCGCCTCTATAAACAAACCTATAAACAACTAGCCAGATTATCATAGATTTCCGCATTTTTAGACTTTTTTTTTTTTAGTTTTTGTGTCGTTTGCAAATCAAAGATGCTTGAGCTCAAGAAGAATACTCAAAGAGAACTCATAGCTTGGTACTTCTGATTCTCGCTTAGCTGTAGAAACTAAGAGTCACAGGATAAATAGCCGCATTTCTAGAAGGATTAGCTATAACGCTCTAGAAGATACTGGAAAATCAACCTGTACGGTCCTGTGTCGCTCTACGAAAAGACAGAAGGATAGAAAATT